AAAAGGCAAACGTAGATACCGACTTGCTTATCTGGAAATGACAAACTGTAGGTAAGTTTAAAATTCTGGTTATGTATGTGAGTTCTAAATCAAACACAAAATTTGCATTTACGTTTTGGCACAAAACATACGGTACAATTTTCTCTAGTTAAAAAGAATTTCATGATAATATATCGTGTTCATTTCATGTCACATTTTGGTGAACTCAAAGAATAATAACTTCTACAAAAACACAGATTTTTTAAATACTAATACAATTGTATTTATTCAGTTCTTGCAAAAATTCATTTCATTTTACTTAGAATTTGTATAAAACAAAGTGTACATTCACAATTTAACAAATTTGCAAAATTTGTCAAAACTCGTATATTTAACTGTAAATAAGTGGTTGGCGTCAACAAAATAAGGAATGTGATAAAAGAAATAGCAGCTTATCTCAATTCGCCTCATCTGTAAACTTATACAGGCCACTGCTTTAGACGTTCTTCGGCCACTCTGTTAGCTGACGCAGGGGCCGATATTACCACTATTAAATGACATTGGGGATGGCGTTCTAGTACGGTAGCAGATACATATACAGTGTAGGAAAGTACCGATGGTCTATCAGAAGTTACGTGAGAGCGTTAAAGTAAGCCATAGAAATCCATGTGATAGACAAGGATGGCTATAATGAAGGCGTCTCTTAGTCACCGCCCGTTTCGCCCTTCCACAAGTTTCTGAGATATTAATTTTTTTCGTTTTGACATATATATACTTTTTGGTGAAATAAAAAAATCTGTAATAACATTTCAAAAACATGCTAAAAAAAATAAAAAATTACTGGCAACAATGAATTTTTCAGTTATTGTTGATAATTTGTTTAAATTAAAAAACATTAAAAAACTGATTACACCATTCAATTTTACGGAAAAAATAAAAAAAACTCTCATTGTTTGACCCAAAACTTTATTTTTGTACAGTATTGCTATAAACATCTAAGTCGAATTACAAATGCACAAATGATAAATTATCTCAGGATGATTTGCTTAACTGCAAAGTCTACTGTTGACGCGAAATCCAAAAACCCGAAATTTTGCAAAATCGTTTAATTTTTTTTCTGGCTTTATTTGAAAACGAATTTTAAATAAATTGCATATTTACATTGCCACTTTTTCGCTCTATCCAATGGCGTCAACATTTTTGCAATCCCACGTTTTGTCTTCGACGGGCCATCATCAGATTAATTTTTTTAAATATATCGCTGCTATTTTTATGACAAAATCTAGTCATTTTTAATTCTGCATTAAATGATATTACTATTGTAATTAAACAGGTTTTTAGCTATAATTAAAAATTTTTCCTGAGTACGGCTCTGAACGCTTTCAAAATACTTACCTGTCTATTCTATTGGAGGAGAGAGAGGGAGAGAGAGAGAGAGAGAGAAAGGAGAGAATAAAAGTCAATACAGCATAAAATATCCAACAATTTTTTTAATCCATAATTTAAAAAGTTGTACATAATAAAAAAATAATACGAATTTATGAAATATTTTATTATTTCTAATTAGTATTGCTAACAGTAGTAAAAAATTGTTGGATATTTTATACGGTATTGACTTTTATACTGTTATGACTTCATCCAATAGATACTTTGAAAGCGTTCAGAGCCGTATACAGGAAAAATTTTAAATTATAGTTAAAATAAGCTAAAAACTTTTTAAGCGATTACAATAGGAATATCCTCTAATTCAAAATTAAAAATGACTAGATTTTGTCATAACAATAGCAGCGTCGTATTTAAAAAAATTAACCCGATGATGGCCCCTCGAAGACGAAACGTCGGATTGCAAAAATGTTGACGCCATTGTATAGAGCGAAAAAAAAGTGGCCTTGTAAATNAAGTTGGTCGCTATAAGCTACTCCCTACGTCCAATGTGTCAGAGCCAACTTCGACCACGTTTTTATTTGAACGCTCGTTATAAGTGGTCACTGCGATCATATGAAAATTTGCTAGGAAAATATCTCATTGCCAGTTTTATAAAAAGTTAACTATTAGTAGGAATTATTTTATCTAGGTATGCACCATGATTATAAGAAAATTTACAATGTCGGTTTTCTGAAAAATTAACTATGAGGAGGTATTTTTTTTATCTATGTAACAATGTATATAATTGCACAACTATAAAAGGCAAACGTAGATACCGACTTGCTTATCTGGAAATAACAAACTGTATCATTAAGTAGGTAAGTTTAAAATTCTGGTTATGTATGTTAGTTCTAAATCAAACACAAAATTTGCATTTACGTTTTGGCACAAAACATACGGTACAACTTTCTCTAGTTAAAAAGAATTTCATGATAATATATCGTGTTCATTTCATGTCACATTTTGGTGAACTCAAAGAATAATAACTTCTACAAAAACACAGATTTTTTAAATACTAATACAATTGTATTTATTCAGTTCTTGCAAAAATTCATTTCATTTTACTTAGAATTTGCTAAATAAGCTAAAAACTTTTTAAGCGATTACAATAGGAATATCTTCTAATTCAAAATTAAAAATGACTAGATTTTGTCATAACAATAGCAGCGTCGTATTTAAAAAAATTAACCCGATGATGGCCCCTCGAAGACGAAACGTCGGATTGCAAAAATGTTGACGCCATTGTATAGAGCGAAAAAAAAGTGGCCTTGTAAATATGTAATTTATTTTAAAATTCGTTTTCAAATAAAGTCAGAAAAAATTAAACAATTTAGCAAAATTTCGGGTTTTTCCGGATATCTTCGGAATTACCCGGAATTTTAAAACTTTGTAAACAGCATATTGTCAGGTATAAAAAACAACTTTTTTCTAATCGGAGCCACCCCGTATCTTTTACTGTTTCCTTGATCCTATTGCTATCCCATCCTTATCTTGGACACACTGTATATCTATGAATTCACCAAACTTTAAAAAAAATAAGTACACTAATCGATCTTACGGAAAAAAAATTATTATTTATTTTATTTATTCACTATTCGACTTATGTTTATAGCAATACTGTATAAAAATAGTTTTGGGTCAAACAATGAGACAGTTTTTTTTATTTTTTTCCGTAGAATTGAATGATGTAATCAGTTTTTGAATGTTTTTTAATTTAAACAAATTATCAACAATAACTGAAAAATTCAGTAATTTTTTACTTTTCGCATTTTTGAGCATGTTTTTGAGCCGTGATTACAATTTTTTTTATTTCACCAAAAAGTATGTCAAAACGAAAAAAATGATTACCGGCAGAATTCTGTACGATGATTTTTTTAAGTAGAATTTTTCTTTGAAGAAAAAGTGTTTCCGGCCGAAAAAATTAATATCTCAGAAACTTTTTAATTTTTTTATCTAAAAAAATTTGAGGTTATTTAAGATAGAGAAAGGTATACTTTGACCAAGTTTTGTCAAAATTAAATTATTTTTGCGGAAATGAGAAATAAAAAACGAAAAATCAGAAAAAAAAACTGTTTCTCGCATTTTTCTCGGAAATTTTGAGGTAATGTTAAAAACCGGAAAAAATGAATAACTCGGTAACTTCTTGATTTTTTATCTAAAAAAATTTGTGGTTATTTAAGACACAGAAAAGTATACTTTCACCAAATTTCGTCAAAATTAAATTATTTTTGCGAAAATGAGAAATAAAAACCAAAAAATAAGAAAAAGCCTGTTTTTTGCATTTTTCTCGGAAATTTTGAGGTTGTTACAAAAATTGTAGATTTTTGTATGATCTACAACTTTTGTATTAGATACTTCTTTGTTTGACGTCAACTTTCGCCAGAAATCCCAATGATACAATTTTTCATAACTTTTCAACCCCCCCAAATCAACCCTCCGCCGCCCCTGCTCACGCATTTATTTTTTTTTTTTCGTTTATTATAAGCCCCTTTACCATTTCGACTTATAAAAGTTCAGGTAACAATTTTCTTTTTTTCCCCTCTCAATGAGTTATTTTGATCGGTCTAATAGTTACTTTTTTGTATTGAATGTGATATTACTTAAAATGTGTATTGTAATTAATAAAATCATTAGTAAATTTCGAAAAAAATACAAATTATTTTGATATTTGTTTTATGTTCTAGAATGAAAAAGACTTTGGCGTTGTAAAACTTAAAAGTATTTCGCAGCTAGGTAACAAAAAAAACTCCCTTTGTCAACTGAAAATTTAACGAAAATGTCGACTTTTTATTACAGTTTTCGAAAAAAATTAAATAGGTACGTTCCAAGTCCTAAGCAAAAATGCTCATATTTTCTGCCGGTGATTTTAAGTTCAGTGTTTATTGTATAAAATAAATAAGATTTCTTCACTCTCTTGTCTTGTATTTTTAACAATTTTAGCGTAAATTTATTAACTATCATTAATTCAATACATATCTAATATAATTGTCTCAAAAAAATTGGAACTTACTTGGTTATTAAAATCAAATGTTTTGTGAAATCCAGAAATGTGTAATCGAAGGTCTAAAAAATTCTTGTTTCTATGAAAAAACAAGAACTTCTTTGTCAAAAAATATTTTTCCTGTCTCTATAAACGCATATTACGTTTACTATATCAGACAGTATTAAAACACAACAATTACCATACCAGATTTTATTTGAACCGAACAAGCATTTTAGGGCCTTTAGAAAAAAAATTAAAACAATAATTAAGCGAAACAACAACAATTTTGATCCCAATACGATCCACCACATCCAAAAACAATCTGAGACCGCCTATTTTAACACTTTTTCCTAAAAGTTGATAATCATGCAGTTCACATCAAACGGTAAATTGATATTTACTATCGCGGTCTAATTAATATTTATAAGTGCATTGCATTTAATTGGCATTAATGATCTAGCGATTATTCAACAGTTTGCATCTGATCTGAAGCACATTGCCATTGCCACAACTCTGTGACTACAAAACAAAAAAACCGCAGTGACACTTGCCGCCAAAAAAATTGACGGTCGACCTCGCCAATTAGCAACCGCATTAAAACTAGTTCACTTACGCTGATTCGGCGGGCGAATATCCTTATTACGAGGCGCGGTTCATTTGTTGCGGTGCAATACACTGCCACACGGCCTACTCTATCTGCACATATCGCCGCGCGACCGCAGCCAACTGAGCCAGCACCGTGATTGCGTCGGGTATATGGTTACTGTTGCTGTTTATGTAAATCTTCGGCTGTTAGAAGAGGTGTGGATGATGAGGAACACGGGGCATTAGGTCCTTACGCTAAAATTTGGACAAAGGCCTGCTCTGGTCGCGGCTGAAACGAGAAAAAGTGGGGGAAAGGGGTAAAGATCGCCTGCTGGGGTCACGGGTTTCTCAGAAAAACTAAACTGCTAACGTAAAGTACGTTTATTAGACACCTTGAAATTTTTATTAAATTTAATGTGCGTTCGTTAGGATTTCTATTTTTATAATATTTTGGGAAAATACGCAAGTCCAGAACACTTTTTTTATATAATATGGAACATTCCACGTCCAATATTTATTACATCCAAAAAAGGTCAACAGGGTACCATTTTCTTTGAAATGTCTACTTTCGAATGCCACTCGCTGTTAAAAAAAAAACAAAATGGCGGCTCAATATGGCGGCTATAAGCTGATAAAAAACATGGTCAAATTAAAAAAAATGTAATTGTTAAGAGTATTTGAGTTTAAAAAACCTAAGAAATGAACAAAAACGCTTATGAAGTGTTAAGGGTACAAATGATTATTTTTTAAATACGTAACATGGCTGATCCAATATGGCGTATAACATGGAAATTATCCCATAAAATGCCAGAAATTGCCAATTTTGCTATGTCTAATAAATTATCGCTCTCCATTGTTGAATTACATTGCTGACGCATAGAATAAAATTTAATGAAAATTTGTAAATATTTAAATATGGCCGAATTAAGATGGCGCCTTAAAATAGGTTAACCACGCCAATTTTAGAAACATCTTATTATTAAATGACTAATTAAAGTCACTAAAATTTTGATATAAAGTTGATTAGAGTTTAAAATATTACTAAGAATGTATGCGTCGTTTATGAGACATCCATCAATAAGTTTTGACATAAGCCTACTTTGAGAAAAGTCGCTTATTTTATACCTCGTTTTATACATCGTAATATTGTAACAGTTCAATTAAAACCCTTTTTTCTCGAAAACCGTCCACATTAGGAAGTTCTAACAAGAAGACATTATTTTTAGAAAATCAAATTATACATTAGAAATTGGAACCCGAATGGTAAAAAATTTAACCTTGAAAAAATTAGAACTTAAAATGTAAAAGGAATGTAGCATAACTAGCGCCCTCTCTAAGAAATATCCAAAAAATAATTAGACCAGCGAATTTGGCGTCCTTAAAAACCCCTGAATAACAAATTTCATAAAAATATTTCGCACCGTTTGGAAATTTTCGTAAAAATTCTATTTGAAAAATTTTATTTTGTCGCTCTGTATCTCGAAAACTAGAGGAGTCTTTTTGAAACACCCTGTATAAATGAGGAATATATGGATGTTTCTTTTTACTGTGTTGCCACATTTCTCGGAATGTAAAAATATATTCAACTATACAGGGTGTTCCACTTTTCCTGGACAGACACCAACTTTGGTTTTTTAAATGGAAACACACATTTTCTATATTTTTTTCGGGTTCTACATAAAAAATAAAGGGTACTTCTATTCAAATATTCACAGTTTTTGAGATATCTCGCTTGAAAGGTTTTTCTATCGATATTGGTTGCTTACATTTTCTGATACCGACAGGTTATATTAATAGCTACTAAGCACATTTTTTATCAGATGTTTAGTAAGGATGACTCTTCCGAATCATGCTCCAAAAACTGGCCTGCGTTATACAGGGTGACCAAAATATCATGTCAAAATTGCCAATTGAAAAATTGAAAAATCTCGATTTTTTTAAATGCAACGCCCTGTATATTTTCATTCCATGAGATGTAGAATTAAATTCTCTACAACTTTGCTATACCTGCTTTTATACCAAAATTCATTAGTTTTTCGTGAAATCTCATTTCTATGAAAAAATGCGAATTTTACAAATAGCTTCTGAAAATCTTGCTGTGTTAAGAATTGGTAATGCTCAGAATGATAGGGGTGGAAATTGTTTTTCTTTAACGTTCTATTAACCACACTTTTGGAAATACTAATTTCATCACTAATTTCTCTGACACTTGTATATGGATTTTGGACTGCACATTCCAAAATATCAATTTGACTATCCTGATTACCACATGCGTGTGTTCTTGTTGTCTTTTCATAATTTGCATTTGCCATTCTTTCAAACCTCTCCTTCACTTTTACAAAACACTTTGTACAAGGATATCTTTGTAAATCTGGATTATTAGCTTGGTAAATACGACTTGCCAATAAACAGTTACCATGGGCTTCTCTTCTTCTATTAAACCTTTCTTTCTATTAAACCTTATGTGAATCGAAAATTTTCCAGATTATCATTTGACAGGAGCCTACTACGTTATTTTACATATTCTATTTCTATTCTATTTGTAAAATTAGCATTTTTTCATAGAAATGAGATTTCATGAAAAACTAATGAATTTTGGTATAGGAGCAGGTATAGCAAAGTTGTAGAGAATTTAATTCTGCATCTCATGGTATGAAAATATACAGGGCGTTGCATTTAAAAAATCGAGATTTTTCAATTTTTCAATTGGCAATTTTGACATGATACTTTGGCCACCCTGTATAACGCAGGCCAGTTTTTGGAGCATGATTCGGAAGAGTCATCCTTACTAAACATTTGATAAAAAAATGGGCTTAGTAGCTATTAGTAGAACCTGTCAGTACCTATCAGAAAATGTAAGCAACCAATATCGACTAGAAAAACCTTTCAAGCGATATATCTCAAAAACTGGTAATATTTGAATAGAACTATTCTACACAAAGTACCCTTTATTTTGTATGTAGAATCCGAAGAAAATCCATTTAAAAAACCAATGTTGGTGTCTGTCCAGGAAAAGTGGAACACCCTGTATAGTTGAATATATTTTTACTTAGTACATTCCGAGAAATGTGGCAACACAGCAAAATGAAAAATCCATATATTCCTCATTTTAACATAGATATTGGACTTTCCCGCACTAGTGGGACACGCTGTATATCAGTAGGAAGCAGAAAAAATCTTTATATTCGTATATCGTAACCAGTTACGGTTCCTACTTAAAAACATATCATTTTGCTTCATAGTTCTGTAACCACGAAAACCTTTAAAAAACTAATAGGAAGGACTAATCGATTCTACGCCGAAAAATTCATGTAGACCAGTTTTTATTCTAATTATTCTAACCCAATTCGATAGGCAGAAACACAGAAATTGACGAATATGTCAAACAAATTTAATTGGCAGTTGAATTTGTCTCGAAGATCGAGCTGGCGAATGTGTTTTTCAAATTTTTTTGTTTTGTTTTTAATACGTATAGTTTCTAAGATTGTCTTTTAAAAGAAATAATGTTATGAAAAAACCATACGTCTGTAGGAATATTCAACACTATGAATAATAGTCACTACTACTACTTTCAAGTTCAGTTACCCTAAAGGAATTAGGACTAATTTTAGTATCATTTAATACGTCAAATTATTTTAGAGAGAACAAATATGCGGATGCCCAAGAATGATTATTGTATCTACGTAAATGTCGCAATTTTTAACTTAATAATAGCCACAATTAATCGCGTGGGTTTTTGTTTTGTCCCGACTTTCACTCGTTGAAGACATATCGCCTGGTCAGGGGTTTTTATGCGCTTCGTATTCAGCTGTTGGACATGGATAGCCAGCCATTCGTTAAGAAATGCAGAATTCATAAACTCTTACTATCTGACGCGTATTTAACACACCGAAGATATCGGTTTTCGTTCGCATGACTTCATTCGAATGCATGGTGCAATTACCTAATCGGTTTCGTTAAAATACAACAGATTTTAATCTTACGGACGTATACAGGGTGTTTTTAAATGAAGTAGCAAAAATTGTACCAGTGAATGTAGAGCCAAAAATAAGAGGATTGAAGTAAAAATACCTTTTATGAAAGTTGCACCCCTGAGGCGATATACTCTCTTAAAGGAGGGAATTGAAATTCACATTTTAATTTTTTTCTTTAACATGAGGAATGCTAGAGACACGAAACTTGGTATGAGCATCCTACTAATAAAGAGACAACTTTTCAATATTTCTTTGATCATTAGAGTATTTTACAAAGGAGTGAAACAGTCAACCCCATTGCAATATTTTATTAGAGATTTTTTATATGACGGAAATTAGGTATTTATTACGCAACTTTTTTACCTCTTGTAATTTTTCGATAAAACTGATAGTTTTCTAGTAAAAAATTAGATGCGTCATCGTTCACTAAAGGGATAATTGCGAAAATTTGTAAAAATAAAGTAGGCGGATGTCATACCAAATAAATTGTTATTTATCATATTAATAAATTGACACTTTCTGTCAACCAATAATTAGTACCAATTGACTAATTTATTATCAGAATAATTATGGCAAATAATATTTATACCAATGACGAATATGTCGACATGCTCCAAGTGTTTTTCGAATCCAGAAAAAATAGTAACGCTGCAGTAAGATTATACCACCAAAGATATCCAAACCGACCGACTCCTCATAGACAAACATTGGCTTCGATGGAAAGAAGACTTCGCGAAACTGGTAAAATTCAGCCCAATCGTGAGGGTGCCGGAAGAAGGCGTAATGTCCGAACTGTTGAAACTGAGGAAGCTATACTGGAACATCTAGAAAAAGACTGTGGTACAAGCACAAGACAGGTGTCCAGGCAACTGCAAGTTTCTCACAGTCTAGTGTGGAATGTAGCTTATGAAAATCTTTTATACCCTTTTCATGATCAACCTGTGCAAGAATTGAATGACCCTGATTTACCTAACCGCGTGGATTTTTGTCAATGGTACATTAATATTTCCAGGCATGACTTAAATTTCCTAATGAATATAATTTTCACCGATGAAGCAAATTTTCCTAGAGTAGGTTCATAATGTTCATTCATGGTCGGAAGAAAATACTCATGAAATATTTGTTTCAAGATGTCAACATTTTAATGTTGTTTAAACGTTTGGATG